TTCAAAAATTTTACAATTTTATTAATTAAAATTCTATACTGTGTTGCGCATGCAGATAACCAAAACATGTATAATCAACCTAATAGAATCATGACGTGAACAACAAAGACTAGATTGTCTCCGAGAGATGAATTTTGTCTCTCATTTTGACATCATTTGTCTCTGAAAGAAGAGACGAGAGATAAGTGACCAGAATATGGCCCCAGGTCCCCTGAAAATTTCTTGTAGTTTATCGACCTGTCCAGATTTTATTCCTAGTCCCCAAAGTAGTTGGTTACCGCTTGGTCGTCTGCCATATAGAAAGAGTTTATACACCATATCAGGAAAATAAGAATTCAAATCTTTAATTCTAATTTAAAATTATTTTCAACAAACTTCAAAAAAATCATAGAGGGAGAAAAATGAAAAAAGTGAAAAAATATAAAAACAGTCACCCCTCTGTATTTCCAGAATTCCCCCACTTGCCCAGATGCTCCAGTCCCTCATATAAAATGACATAGTATTTGCATCATAGTATTATGCATATACTCCTGTATCTTTTAAATTGTCTCTAGATAATACAGCATTTACATTTTAAAAAATACTATATGTGAATTGGTTATTAATGTTTTGTACATTAAACACTTTATACTGTATTGTTTAAACCATTAGGAAATAGCAAAAAGAAAGAAAAGTCTGTACATGTTGGAAACATCACAGGTATATAACTACATGGCACACATCAGCATCAATGAATCATTTTCCTTCTTACAACACTTACAGATTGCTTTTGTGTAATAACTGGAATGATAAATACATAGAATAAAACACAGAATATTTAAAATGCAAGCAAATTCAAATTTTTAAACTTTAAAACTTTCTGAAATTATTTTTTGAAATATTCAAACCATGGGCGGTTGAATATGCAAATGCAGAAACAAAGGACCAATTGTATCTAATTTGATATAAATTCTATTTAATACATAGATATTTATGACAACCACAGTTGTGTGAGAAGTGTTTTTAAAGTGAATAATTGTTAGTGATTGATACAGTAGACCCCCCTCCTATAACACGGTAGATACGTTCCATGTTATATGAATTCCATGTTGTACGAGTCACTTAAATACATGAGCCAATCACAGCCTGCACGTTGCAGTTTAGGGACTAAGGCTGTTTGAAAGGTTTTCTTCCATAAAATTAATCGACTCTAGACTAATTTGACTCAACATTTCCAAAACACATATAGGTAACCCCTGCATAACACAGGAGTTATGTTCCAAAAAATTGCCGTGTTATGTGAATCCGTGTTATACGAAACAGAGAATTAGTGTGAAAAGGTGGGTTAGGTTGCAAAAATTAAAAAACATGCTGTTAAATCTTTCTTTGAATCAGATTTATTATTCATTTTTTATGGGTAAAATACTT